GGCTAGAAATATGAAAATTAGTCATTGGCAATCTCATCTGAACAAAACAAAAGATAAAGCGAAGTTGAATCAAATCTTCTGTTTCTTGTAAATTTCAGATTGAATTAAAACGCTCTAATTTTTAAAAAGCTGACCATAAGAACTTTTGAAAATTAAGCAGCTCATTGTGGAATCTACTAATAGTGGCTGGGTCTGGTGCTACAGAGGATAGGAAGAGAGGCAATCAGGGCTCTTGCTACTAATAGATGTTACCCAAAAAAGTATTTCACATGTGATTTGCTCAAATTACTACACTCAAGAAATTAGTCCCTAAACAGGTATGTCAGAGCCACTTTCTATGTTAAAATCTGGCAAAGGAATTCCTTTCATAGAAACTGCTGCTAACCTGAACTGAGTAAGTCTCTAATAAGAAAATCTGAAGCTGAGACTGCAAATGATAATCAGACCTATCCTAAAATTTTGTGACATGTAAATCCTTCCTAAAGGAATTTCCAAATTCATGCTTATGGGGCACGGTAAGTCAGAAATGTCGAACTGCAAATGACAAGCACTTGCAGAAGTGCTTCTTCAGAGACTGTCAGTCCCTGCGAAGATGGGTTAGCTAACTTACCAGCATTATTGGGATGAAATTGAGAATTGTGAGTGGTTATCCCCATGTTAGATGGAACTAACTGGACAATACCTTTATAAACTAACTGACAGGATCCACTAGAGGAGCACAGGAAAGCCACGTTCTCTGTCTTTCAATTAGGTACTCTCCCAGTTAGGCAAAAATGACAGCATTTCTTTGTGCTGTCAGGGTAAAACACCACTGTAATATTTGCGGGGAGCAAGTGGACTCCTGGTGGGAGTGGCTCAAGCCAACCTTTCTGAGTCTGGTCCCAGCGTATGCAGAGATTCAAGCTGAAAATGCAGGGTCCTAGAAGATTCTATCCATTCTGTAATGAATACTTTGAGTCCTGGTCTTCATCAAGACTCTCGCATTCCAATCGTGCTCTCCTGTTGTGTCTGCCTAGAATGTATTACCCTTTACTCACTATTGGTATATTATCAGGAAAAATAGGGTTAGAGAGCACTGATGGATGGAAGAAGAAATGTGTAGGTGTGTGCCTTCATCCTGGGGATATGTATAATAACAGCAATAATAATACTAGCTGCCATTTATTGAGCTCTCACTTTGTGCTGAGAATAATATTTCGTTTGCATCAACCTCTTTAATTTCGGCAACCCTATAATAAAGATACTACTAGTAACCCCATTTTGCAGATAAGGAAATTGAGGTAAAAAGAGGCAAAATGGATGGAACCCTTGACCTTGACATAACTGTCAAGTGTTATAGTAGGACTAGGTCTCAATTCTGTCTGTTACCAGTTCTACGCATTTAACTAGGATACTACTCTGTCCTCCTTTATAACAGTAAAAATACCTGTTTGTTCTAGTCAACCATGTTTTGTAGGCCTGTAGAGAGATACGATCATTTGCCCAAATTCCCGCATGACCTTATGACTTATGTGGCTCAGGCTTTAGCAATTGCACTTAAATTTAAACTCACTAGAACAGTGCCAGCCAATAGAACTGTCAGCAATTATGGCAGCATTCTAAAAATCTGCTCTGTCCAATATGTTAGCCACTAGTCACACATGTGGCTATTGAGTGCTTGAAATATGGCGGGTATAATTGAGGAAGTTTTCATTTTAATTAATTTAAATTTAAATAACCACATATGGCTAGTAGCTACCATACTGCACAGATCTCTAGAGGGAAAAACATGATGCTCTTGGTACTGAAATTATTTCATTTACTCATTTAATCAATATTTTTTGAGAGCTTACTATATACCAGATTCAGTACTGGGCATTACACAGAAAGTAGTAGACAAAATAGACATTGATTTCTGACCAAAAGAAAGAATAAAACTAAAGAGCCAGAGACATTGGATAAAGCAAGGAGAGTGAATCACACAGAAACTTAGAAAGGAGACTGTTTCCAAAAAGGAAATGGGTCATGGCTCTTTGGTTCCTCAATTACACAAGCCATATCTTGAGTGTTAAGATGACAATGAAGATGAAAACAGAAAAATGTGATCTGGATCTGTCATCACCAAGACATTTTATTGTCTTATGAGTAATTTCAGTGGAGGGATCGGAAGTCAGATTAGAATGGGTTAAGGAATCAATGGGCAGTTAAGGCAATGAAGACCGCAATGACCTGCATAGACAACGCTCTTGAGAATCATTGCTAAATAGGAGGGTAAAGAAATGAGGTGATATCAGATGGAGTATGCATGGTGCAGGCATCTAGTATATTGCATATATGTAAGCCAAGGGGAATAATCTAGTGGAGAAGGGAAAAAAACAGACAAGGTAGTAAAGTGGAGGGAGCAGAGGATTGGTAACTGATATTCTTAAGAACTCAGAAAGAGAGAAGGATCCAGAGACCAGTGAGAGGACTGGTCTTGGCTGAAAATGGAGATATTTACCCAGGTAAAGGCAGAAGAAGATGGATACAGGTGAGGGTAGCTTTGCAGATTTGCTCACTTAACCCAACTAGGCCAAGCTTCCCCGGAGTTGCCCATAGCTAGGAATTTCATTCAAAGAAATGTTGCTCTTATATCCCAACATAATTGAAAAGCAATTAAATATTTTTTGCATTCTCTAGAAAAATCCCCAGAGGAAACTGCACTAAAATACACAATAAAAACCAAACTTGCCCAAACTTCTCCCTCTCTCCCTCCCACATCTATCTCTCTCCTGTCCCCACGTCTGTCTTTTCCTGCCACTCCAAAATCCCAAGAAAATCTCTTTCTAAAAAAATACATGCAGTGAGATAAAATGATGTCTAGTGTTAGCTCTAAAATTTTATGATTGTATAAAGGATAAAACCTGATATTTAAAACCTCACCTTTTCATTCGCAAGAAGCTAGGCAAGCTTGGAGGAATTCCGAAGGTTACCAGGGTTTGTTGTTTTTTTTATAATTACTAAGATGTCACATCATAATGTATGTAAAAAGTGAAGGTAGAAAACTCCAAAATTGCAAGGAAAGTAGAGTGGGGAAAAAGACTTTGGATAAGGCAAGAGGAGGAGGAAGAGGACTAAAGTAGGAGGATGAGGGCCAGTACTGCCAAACCCAGAGGAGAAATTAGAGACGTAGAATGAGGCATAACATCTGTTCTGTTCCAAGCAGTGTTTGTTTCCAAATTCACCTCCTCTTTATTCCTTGCCTCAGCCAGGACCTTTCTCCTTTCTCTTTGAAATCATAAAAACAGCAAAGCTTTCTCCCGAAACAGGGAAACCATTCTCATACCACAACCCAAAGAAGATGGGCGCATGTGGGCACAGAGGAAAAGAACAACAGAACCATGGATTTAAAAATTTTTCTTAATTCAAGGAGAAGCAAAGCGGCGAGGTAGAGTAACCTACCTCTTAAACTGTTTGTTTGAAAATAATATGCAGAAAGAGAAAAACAATCCTCAACTAACAACTGCCTTTCTTGCCATCTGCTTAATCTAAACATTAGCATATCACATATCTGAGTGAACTCAAATTGCACTGGAAATGGAGTGCTCTGTTCCACTTTTTTAGAACCTTGATAGGAGAGTCAAGTGAGAATTTCTATGGGATTATAGGGGTGTTGCGGGCTTCCAACATTTGCATTTAGGGCCACATTTTCAGTCCAGCCTTAACTCATCATACTAGGACTGGAGGCAAAATTGTGCCTGGCTTAATTAGCACAAGTACTAATCAAGTACTAATGAAATTTGCCCATAAGCAGTTCTTCAGACTAAGGCACAAGTAGTGTACACAATTTCTGTGTATATCACTTAGCTTGTCAGCACAAAAGGGGGAAAGAAACGAACAATTCCTCCCTAAAATTTGCTTCAGGCTAACCACAAGCAAACATCATTTCTACCCAGAAGTAATACATTAGTTTCATCAGTGTAAACTCTGCAAATCCTAAATCTGCAAACTGCATCTCAATTTGCCACATTAGGTAACACATTTATAAAAATATAAGCTGGGAGCTGTGGCTCACGCCTGTAATCCCAGCACTTTGAGAGGCCGAGGCAGGTATAACATGAGGTCAAAAGATGGAGACCATCCTGGCCAACGTGATGAAACTCAGTCTCTACTAAAAATACAAAAATTAGCTGGGCATGGTGGTGTGTACCTGTAATCCCAGCTACTCAGAAGGCTGAGGCAGGAGAATCACTTGAACCCAGGAGGCGGAGGTTGCAGTGAGCCGAGATCGCACCTCTGCACTCCAGCCTGGTGACACAGCGAGACTTCATCACACACACACACACACACACACACACACACACACACGTAGAATGTTATCAATGAAGATACTTCATTCTTACAGATTTATGAGCTATTTAAAACCTAAATTTGGAAATGAATGTGATCTGCAATATACCTTAAAATAGATAGGATATATAGGATGTCTTTCAAACTAAAATGTCAGTTCTTAAGAGGGCACAGTGATGCTGGACAACAGATCTATTTGTTTAAACTCAGAATAATGACAATAAAAGAGGCCCAATTTTATCTCCTCTGTCGCTGATAAACCCTTAGTCTTCTTCTTGTGTTTTAGGTCCACTACTAAGACCTGTCTAAGCATAAGCATTTATTTACACAACATAAACTAAGGAAGATTCTTTCAATCTATCAATTAAATCATACTAATCAGAGATGCAGTGAGCACACTGAAATAAGTATCTACATAATCAAGCTTTGCACACAGGAACCATTTTGTTCCAGTTTTCTCACAGTACTTCCCCCCAAATAAAATTTTGGGTCATCCCATTTTAAAGACAAGAAAAACACTGATTAATCCTCAAGAGCAAGGTCACGTTAAAAAGTCAGGCAGAAAATCAAGAAAGGACTCCACGAGGACCAAACGCTGTCATTTCTTCTGCCCAGTAAACTACACTCCTTCCTCAAAGGGCTGTTACATTTCTGGTGGGAAAGAATTTCACCTTTAAGAAGCTGAAACTTACCCACTTGAACAGGTGCAAAGACCAGATGACCGGTTGTTCCCTTATGGACTATCGACAAACATCACTTAAAAAAATAATAATCATTGGCAAGTGCTAAAAACCAGCCAATTCACACAATGTCTTCATAAAATGAAATTCAGGAGAGTGGAGAGAAAATAATGCAGAATCAGAGTAACCTTGGATGGAACCAAACTGTCACCTGTGGTCCCATGCAGCAGAAGCCTCCCTCACAGCTTCCTGAGTTAAGGACAACAGATTATTACAACATTGACTTCTGTTGCTGTTTCAGAATCATGTTGTCTGAGTGTTATGTTAGTCTCATTTTTCCATTTGTAAACAGATCTAACATCTCTATAGAACAGCAGAAGAGGGAAAAAAAGGAATTTCTTGCCATTAGTGAGTTTTATTTTTCTTGATTATATAAAGGTTTGTGAACTATAAAGGGTACAAATTTAACATGCTGTAAAAGCAACAAGAAAAATTCATGCAGACTGCAAACATGAACAAAATTCAAGCCCTGGCATTCTTCACAGGAACCAAGGGCCCCATCTGCTGATGTTTAAATGTACTACAGTAGCAAAAGGATTTTTTTAAAAAATAAGAAAAAAAATTACTGATCTAAAATACAATAAAGAGCCTAAAACTGCAGAATCTTAGCAGAAGGCACCTATAGAAGTCAGAGACACTGCCCCTGATCCAATACTTCTCACCCTTTTCTGTACTGCTGCATCGCTGGATGGAAGTTCTTTGGAGCAGACAGTTTATTTCTAATTTTCTTAGTTCTCGGGAAAGGAGTGCCAAGCACTGCCTTCACTGGCCACCACCTCTCTACTGACAGACCTTTGGTTGAAGTGAGTTCTCTAGTCCCTCTAACTGATGACTGTTGTTTTGAAGTGACTGGATGTTAAGGATCTTAATGAGGGATTTTGATGCTGCCCATTTTGATGATGATAAAAAGGAAGACATTCTCATTACTTCTCAGCCTTGCCTCCAACCTGGGATAGATAGTACTGGGGTTCTTCCTCTGAAGTTGGTTTGGTTTATGATCATTTTTGCAACTAAGTGAGTACGTAAAGCATAAGAGAAAGACCCTAGATGGGTTATTATTATTAGATGGCTTAGAATAATGCAGTTTAGGGATCTAGCCCATGCATGTTAATACTCACTACTGCCCTATTCTGTTTAGTTCTTCTCTCCTCACCTTAAAGATAAGGTGTCAGATTGCATGTTCTTTAAATGGGCTAAGTTCCTTTTCTCCTAGCTCTACAATTCATTGTAGCATCCACGTAGCACATTGCATACATTAGATACTCAGTAAAAAGATGATGAACAGACACATTTTCTATCAAAACTATTTGTCAATAATTATCCTTTTTCTTTAATCCAGCCATTCTAAGTTCCTTATACCCTTTTATATTTGGAATTTAATAATACCTGCAGTGAACATTTATGCTTGGAAAACCAGATCCTTTCAACCTTTATTTAGAAAATGACCCCAATGTCTTTGGGAGCAAGTATCTCTTCTCCATTATGAACAGTCCAATGGGACCATCAGTCAAGGTTCTCTGAGCTTTCCTAGCTGAATTGTGAGCACATGAACCAAACTTGGCCAACTCTCTACACTGTGACTTTGACTCTTGTGCAGAGCAAAACAATAATGGAAAAGCAAATGCAGTCAGGTCATTCTGGCAGTATAATCTGAAATGCCCATCAGATGGTCCCTATTACCTCAGACCCTTGACCCCAGTAGCTGACCTAGTTCCTGTCCTATTTCTGTGATGAATTCTTCAGCCTTTCCTTAAGGAAACTGAAGCATCAGGCACAGCTACCCTCTAGGACACCCAAAACATTCATTTCCTGCAAATCAGTAATAGACATTAGCTGATTGTCTCTCCCACATACAAACCAACTTCCTCCCTGGCTTTCTTTCTAACAAGGCTCTAGACATCTAGTCATGTGATTGGTGTGGAATTCACTTCATGTCTGTCTCAAGGAGGGACTCTTGTTTGGCTCAAGTTAATTATTATGTCTCCTTGTCTTGGCCACAGCTTATGGTCTGAAAGTGGACATATAACTGAATTGGGGCCCATCAAATATAAAGCATGTTTTTGGGGGGATTCTAGGAAAGAGGTTACTTCTATCTTCAATGAGAATTATTTAAAAATGATTAGACTTGAACATGAAGTCCTAGCTGTGTCAGCATCTGCCTTACTAACCTAAGAGAAACCAGTCTTAGGATGCGGCCAACACCGTGAAATCTACAGGGGAAGGAAAGAAACCACATCTTTGGAAATACTTGTAATCAGTGTGAAGCCTGAACGTTTTAGTTATATAAGACAGTAGATTTGTTGTTGTTGTTGTTGTTTAAGCCATTTTGATAGAATTTTCTGTTACTTATGAGTCAAATCATCCTAAATAACATCCGGGGTCTATTCCTGTTGATAAGAAACAAAGAACTTTAACAGATACACTATTCAATCGGGAATCTGACTTCCTAGGAAGATGAACCACTACTCTTCTTATATGCTATATTTTTATTTAGATATTTCAATATCATATTTGATTTTATTTACATTGTTGAATCTGCTCAATCCTTAGTCCACCCTATCCCACATTTTTCTGCCATTCTTATCTAAGGCAAATCAATCATTTATTCTATTCCATTGGTAGTTTGTTTTTCTTCCTTTGTTTACTAACATGAATATTTTTCCACTTACTTTGTTTTCCTAAATAAATCTTCAATTTATCAAAGTCCTTTACAGGCAGAAGCAGATTTTGCTTTCTTATTTAACAAAGTCTACCACATAGTGGGTATTTGTTTGAGGAACGGATAATGTTTATGTTTATTCATCTTTTCCAAACTACCCTTTCCTGTTAGTTTAATGAATACCCTTCTATTATTATATCATCAGGGTCAATGGGAATACATTTTACTGAAGGTGCGGCAAGTCTTGTGTCGGGCACGCAATGGGCTCCCAACATTAGACTGGAACTTGCTGCTGAAACACCAGGTAGTATAGCCATCTGTGATTGGATGACTGAAGCTAAATCTCTTTGGGATGAACCTTTGGTTTGCCCCTTTCCTACTTGCCCCCACCTATTCCATTTCCAATGATGCTTTTTCTCATTAACACAGAGAAAAGCTGGATAGATCACTTCATGAACTAAAATGCCATTTGTTTCTCTTCCTCTTCATCTTGGTCATTGACTTCTTTCATGCTTAGTTCTCAGGCACTCCCAACATAACATCTTTCTATTTCAATTTCCTCCCCTCACATTCCCTCAGAATTACTTTCCACCAACTTTGTCAAACTAAAACCAAGACTTTTCTCAACTTCCACATCTTAATGAGTTACCAAATAGCATTGATTCTATTCAAGAAATATTTCTTTTAACATATTACTTTCTTTCTACTCCTACCTGCACTTTCTGGTTGGGATCCTTTCAATCTCTTACCTGAAATATCTTCCTACCTTTTGTCTCTGCTCCAGTCTTGCCATGTTTATATACATCTTCCATCTGCCACCAGGATAATGCATCTCAATTATAACATAACATAGTCACTCCCCTGCATAAGGTAATGTTTTCATATTACTTTCACTATGCACTCTAACATAAATCCTGTCTTGCACTATTCTTATCTCCCTCCACTCTGTTCTTAACAACTCAAGTTTCAGAAACATTTATTAAACCATATATGGTTCAATCCATGAAACACACTTCTTTCTATCCTTATTTCTTACTGTGCTGTTTTCTCTGCCTAACACTCTTCTCTGCTTCTTCACTGGAACAAATGTGACTCAACCTCAAGTGTAATCTTGCCCAAGAGGTCTGCTCTGACCATGCTCAGGCTCAACCAAGTGATCCAATTCTGTGTCCTGAGAGAATTCCATGCACCATTCCATCCTAGCACTTACAAGGTAAGTTTGACCTAGATATATCAACACAGTGCCTGTGCTATGCCTCCTTTGGTAGCCTCTGATGAACAGACAGCACTTAGACCTGTTTTTACTATGTGATCTTACCCTCTTTTCACAGCTGATTGAGTTAGGGATGGACACAGATGCCATTCAAGGGCATCCATGGTTGCTTTGAAAAAAACATGGGCTGCACCAATTCATTCATTCATCTTTCTACATATTTTGAACTAAGAAATACAGGGACAAAATTAGAATCAGGGGCAAAATTTAAAAGTCAACTTTTAGAGAAAACTTCTAACTTATGCCCCACAAGAACAAGTTTTAGTAGCAAAGAAACCACAAGTAAGCAGAAGGCAAGATACAAAGAAATGAAGAGAACATCCTGAAGATGAGGAACCTCTACTCTGAAACTACTGACATCCCAGGGCCACCTGAATCAAGAACTACCCTGCAATTCTGCTCATAATTCCCTGGGTTTTTGTGGTCTTCTTATAATAATCTCTATTAAAATCTCTCCAACACTCAAGGAAGTATAAACTGAATCTTAGCTCTAGTATATAAGAGGTTAATCAAAACAGAATCGAATTTTCCTCTATTATCATTGGTCTTTACCCCTAGACTAAGTGCTTCCAATGGGTAAGGAACATAAGTATCCAGAAGATAGTAAATACTGAAAAAAATAGATATCCAAACCCATGAATGAGAAACCAAATGGGAGGAGGGCCAAAGGGAACAGGTGATAGGGATATACTATGGGTAAACTTATGTTAAAAGAATTTATGCAAAACAATAAAAGAACATATATGTGGCTTATCAATTACTGAAATATATCTCATTCTTAACTGGTAATTATCCAAAGAAAAATTTTCCATACTACTATCTTATAAAAAAAAAGACCTGAAATTTGATGCTAGGCATAATTCTCAATTACACTTTTATAAATTAATATTATAAGGACTTAATGATCTCCTACTATGTGCTTAGCACATTGCTACATGCAATGAAAGATACAAAACAAAAAATGTACAATTCTTAATCTCAAGAACCTTACCTTCACCATCTATTCTTTATAAAGCTTCATTATCACCCTGCTCTTTGATCTTCACCAAGTATTTTGAAACTAATTATCCTGCACCTTCCTCATAATAAAGGCTTCTTAAAACATTGAGTATTTTTTAAAATGCCACAAGTTCTAGCTTCTTGCCCCAGTTAATCTAGTAAAGGCACAGTGAAATATTATCAACAGTAGGCTTCATTTTTTTTGACTGCTTCAGCCACAATAAAGAGATTATGAAAATTCTAAATGCCTTGCAACTTAAAGCATATAAACTCTATTTTTCAAACTATATGAATAGCTGGAAGAAGCAGCTAAGAGTAAAGGCAAGCAGGGAATTGTAGAATAAAACTTTCATAAAGTCTCTGAGATGTCTAGTGAGGAAGTCTCAGGGCTGACTGTTAGGATGATTTAAAACCTTAAACACCATTTTGTTGACACATAATTCTTTTATATATTTTCAGTATATAAATTGTGAGCTCCTCTAAAGGAAACACAGTTTTTCACAGCAAAAACAAAGAATAAAGCCTCTAACTCTTATTACATTTTAAGCACTAGATAACTTTGTGAGCAGGTAACCAAGTTTATAAAATCATGTAAATCAGCACTCTGTGAATTGGTGTGGCAGGAAGGATTTCATACGCCGACTTTCTATTGACACACAGCTAACCATTTTCACATTTTATATTTTTCATTGTGGTTGTTAATGTGCCTTAAAATATGCAGAAACATGAAAACCAGTAGAGTCCATGGTTACATATTAGAGAGTAACTAGTGCAGACAGGGCTTGTTTTCTGTTTTTTGTTTTTGTTTTTCCTTTGGAGCCTGGAAAAGTTTTGAATAACAGCCAATGAGATTTTGTTCCTTTGAAGGAAGCCTGTCTGACTCATGACATTATCTCTACTAAATGTAATATAAGAAAGAGGTGGAATTTTTTTCTTTATTAAATTGGGAAAAGAATTCATGTTTAATATACATTTATTGAATGTACATTAAATACATAAATGAAACATGAAAGAAGTAGTCAGAGATACATGAGAGCGTTTGGAGGAAATTAGGGCCAAAGCATTTTTTGCCAGATTTTCTGAAATTTCTTATGCTTACGCTGCATCTAGATTGGCTATCATGGCATTTTGTACCGTGAGAAAGATCAGTCTCTCCTAAGATTAGATACTGTTGTTTTGAGAAATCAGATGACCATAAGCATTTATTAATCCATTCATTCATTTATGCAGCAAATATCTGTCAAGCTCCTATTATGTCCTGGGCACAGTTCTAGGTGTTGGGATACAGCAGTGAATAAGAAAAAGCTGCCACTATTGGGGAGCTTACATTCTCGTGGGTGAAACAGAAAATAAACAAAGAAACAAGCAGATCCCTAACTTAGTGTCTCTTAGACATAATGCTATGAATAATAATGCATCAGGGAAAGAGGGCAGAGAGTACTGGGAACTATTATTTTTATGTAGGGTGGCCAGGGAGACCAATGTTCAGAATGAAGTGAGAGGAGAAGCCCTGTGAGCATCTGTGTGAACTGCAGAAAGTACTGCAGAAGATCTATGCAGGAAGCATGTGAGGTGTGCTCCAAGAACAGCAAGAGGCCAGCATGAAGAAAGCAGTAAGACACTTGGATTTGATGCTAATCATGTTGGGAAACCATTGCAATAGCTATTCAGACATGTCCTTTTTTTAGCTAGGCTTTACAAACTTGATAATGAATAGTCTGTGATACATATACCACAATGAAGGCTCATGAGATCAACCTCAGGTTCACAACAATTTTTCAATCAGTTCTCCAAATCCAATTCCAAACTGCACTTGAGGGAAGGTAGACATTTTTATTTAACTATAGCAATCAATCAAAGATGTAGGAACCATAATGATGAACCTTAAAAACCGACTGACAGCTTCCCATCAATAATAGCTATTTTGGGGAGACAATCAAAGGTGAGCATCAGGAACAAACCATTAACCATCCCAGTTCACAGATGTCCACATTGGAACCGGGCTTTGCCAATCCCAGGTCAACACTATTGAGAGCCTAGGGTTGTCATAACTTCTAACTTAGAATAATTTTTCAGATCTAGTTCAAAAGAGCATAAATCTAATGAAAATATTTTTGAAAATAGTACTTTCTTGTTGACAGTAGGCTATTGTTAGCAATAGGTTAACAGTCGTTTAAAAATATTCCCGTATGCCAGAGGCCTATACAATAAAATGTTTCTTCTTGCCTTCATCACAGTCCAGGTTGGCAGCGAGCGCCTTGGCTTCATGCAGTCATCCAGTGACCAAAATCTTTAAATCTCATTATTCCCCTCCTCTAGGTCCTCAGAATCCTTTGCATTCAACCAGAGGTTGGAAAAGTAAAAATGTGTGCAAGGCATTCATTCTACTTTCACATCAGCATCAGAGCACCTCACCCCCTAGATTTTTTTTCCTACTTCGCTGGTCATTCCTGCTTGACGTCCTTTGCTGGTTTTAGAGATCAGTCCTGGAGCCCCTTTTCTTCTCGAGCTAGAGTCTCCCCTCGGTAACATAACATGATATCTCATGGCTTTAAATAACATCTTTATGTTGAAACCTCCCAATCTTACATCTCTATTTGGATCTCCCTCTCCAAACTCCAGACTTATACATATCTACCTGCCTGTTTAACACCTTTGCCCAGATGTAGAACAGACATTCAACACCAAGTCCAAAGCTGAGCTCAAGAGCTTCCTCTAGTGTCTCTTCCCTTTGTGGCCTTATCCATATCAGTTCATAACTACTTTCTTCCAGTTACTCAGGCAAAAAATTGCAGTCATCCTTGATTCCTTTCTTACCTTTCTGCAGCTCTAGGTTCAAAATATATCTAGAATTTGATGACTTCTTACCTTCTCTGCTGCCACCACTTGCTCCTGGTATTCTTGTCTATATCATTGAAATGGTCTCCAACAAGTTTCCTGTATTCTACTCTTGACCCTTTAGTCTTTCCTAACACAGCAGCCAAAGTAATCCTTTTGAAAGTAAAAGTTAGATCAAATCCCTCTCTTGTTCAGAACCCTGTAATGGTTTCTCATTTCCCATTTCACTCAGAGTAAAAGCCAGAGTCATTTCAATGCCTATACGGCTCAATGCTGTCTGCCCTTCCTCTAGCAATCTGTCATGAGAGCAAGTTTCATTCTATATCAGACAGACTGAGCTTTGTTCCTGGTCTTAGAACATGCCAGACACATTCTGGCCTTAGTGCCTTTACTCTTCTGAGAATGCTCTTTTCTTGATAGCTACCTGATTCATCCCTACATTCAAGTGTTTCTTCAAATTATACTTCTCAGTAAAGGCAATCCTACCCATACTGTTCATGTTGAATCTTGCCTCCTGCTCGCCCCAGTACAGTACTCCTGAAACACTATAATAATCTATATTTTATTTTGTACACTGTACTCACACTCTATAACATGCTTTTATAATTTCTTTTTATTATGTTCATTTATTTTCTGTTTTCCTATCTAGGAGTTGAGCTCCTTAAGTGCAGAGATCTTTGTCTGCCTTGATCAAAGATGGGAAGATGGGAATCAAAAATGATTCCCACTTACCTAGATCAATGCCTGGGCATATAGTATTATTTAATAAATTTTAAATTGGATGAAATAAGAAATGAACATAACAGTAGGAGTTAGAGAAAAACGATTTCAGAAAATTCGTCTGATATGCTTGATACTTGATCCTTTGCTCTTATCTGTAGTAGCTTTTGTTTCCTGCATGAGTCATATCCTGGACTTTGGCTTTCTAGTTCCCTTTAGATGCAGCTCTTGGTGACTATATGGTCTATCTGGGACAATACAGCATAAGTTGTTAGGTGTGGGTTGGTAGGCCAGATATGCCTGGACTCCATTCCTGGATCTACCTCTTTGGGCAAGTCATTTCCACTTTTTAGTCCTCAGTTTCCTCGATGACAAAATGGCAATGATAGTAGTACCTATCTCATAGTGTTTTGTGAGAAACAAATAATAGGTGTGGTGACTAGACTGTCTTCACACTGTTAGCTATTGCCTTTAAATGGATATCCTTAAATGTGCTGACCTGGTGCTCCCCCTGACCAGAACAAGGTTAGCACCTGATCACATAGACTCCACCGCTCTCGAGTTGTCACACACTGACTTGGTTCTGAGATATTCAAGAAAACAGCTTGTATTTATAAGTGGGATCCACATTTATAAATAATCTAATTTATATTCCATTGAACTGTATAAAATTAATGGTTTTTTAGCAAAAAATAAATGTCAAATATTAGTAATTTCATATGGTTTGACCTAATGTTTTCAGTTTGATTAGAGCACAGTTTTTCAATGTGTCAGGCAAGTGTTAGTTGAGCCTAGTTCTAGTTGTGAAGTTGCAATTTGAGATAAAAATAATATTGAAGTTATAGAGCTATATCCTAAGACCTCATAAAACATGGAATATTCTTCTCCTTTATTTTTCACTCCTTCCTGGGGCTTGAATCCTGCCCTGCCCTCAAGAAGTTTGTCTGTCTCTTTTTATCTTTTCTAGCTCCCTTTAACCCCCTCATAAGTACTCAGCCTTTTCCACTATATGTCAGGGTTCTCTAGAGAAACAGATTGATAGGTGGGTAGGTAGGTGACAGACACAAGATGACTGAGTGATTGATTGATTGATTGATTGATTGATTAGTGAGGCTCAGGCAGGCTGGCACTGCTTCTCCTGGGAAGGGAATGAGTTGACAGATGCAGATGTGCATCAGGAGGTCTCTGAATGGCCTTAACATTTTTGTACCATACCTGCTACCTGGCTTCCTACCTCACTAAAAAGTATGTCCCGTATGTATTGAAATTTATTTACCCTACATTATTCCAAGGGTTTCAGACATTTATTAGTGGACTCCTCTATCGATCTATTCATCCATCTATCTATGTATTTATATCTATATCCTTATCATATTGGTTCTGTATTGGTTCTATATATCTATATTTTTATCTAGCTAGCTGGCTAGCTACAGAGAGAGATGGATATTTTAAGGAATTGGTTCACCCGGTGATAGGGGTTGATAAGCCTGAAATCCATATGGAAAGAGAGCAGGCTAGAAATTCAGGTAAGAGTTAATATTGTAGTTGTAAATCTAAATTCATAGGGCAAGGTGAGTAGGCTGGAAATGCAGTAGGATTTCTGGGCTTCAGTCTTTATTGTAGATTATTATAGTTGAATTTTGTCCCCTAAAAGTTCGTATGCTAAAGTCTTAATCCTCAGTACCTCAGAATGTGACCTTGTTTGGAAATAGAGTTGGTGCAGATGTAGTTAAAATAAGATACTACCAGAATTGGGTGGGACCTTACTCCAGCATCTAGTACCTTTATAAAAAGAACCCTGCTGTCCGGGTGCAGTGGCTCACACCTATAACCCCAGCACTTTGGGAGGCTGAGGCATGTGGATAATGAGGTCAAGAGATGAAGACCATCCTGGCCAACATGGTGAAACCCCATCTCTACTAAAAATACAAAAATTAGCTGGGTGTGGTGGCGCATGCCTGTAGTCCCAACTACTCGAGAATTGCTTGAACCCGGGAGGTGGAGGTTGCAGTGAGCGGAGATGGCACCATTGCTCTCCAGCCTGGGTGACAAGAGTGAGACTCAGTCTCAAAAAAAAAGACCACCATGTGAAGAGATAAGCATGCATACAGGAAAAAAATGATATGAAAAATTAGAATTACACTGCCACAAAACAAGGAATTACCAGAAGCTAGAAGAGAAATCTGAAACAGATCTTTCTCCAGCATCTTCAAAGAAAGCATGGCTGACATCTGGATAAACTTCCATTGCTTAAGTCACACAATCAGTAATATTCTGTTATGATAGTCCTAGCAAACTAATATGCCCACTAACCCAAAACTATGTTGAGTTCCATCCTGTCCTTCCCTTTCTGTTTTTAATAAGTCACTATATCCAGTTCATTCTAACATTAAAAACGTCTCTCCCTTCTAGTTTATTCTCTCCCTTTATTTCAGGCCTGTATTATCTCTCACCCTATATATGATAACAGTCTCTGAAGGGTTTCAGCTTCTTCTTTCTCCAGTCCCTTCTCCATACTGTTTCCGTAGATCTCTACTTAAAATAGAAATCTAATTGTATCCCACATCTGGTTGGAAACCTCTACTGACTCTACCTCACCAGATGCTAATGCTGGATTCCTTATCAGGGCACCCAAAGTCTTCATAATCTGGACCCTAACTTACTTTCCAGCTTTATCTCTCTGCTTTGCTTCTTTATACTGTACCTTTTGACCACACAAAACTCCTTTTTTTAATAAACTATGACCTTACATGTCACGAGCTATACTGCCTGACCCTTTTACTCTACTGTAACCCAGATTACATGTTCTTTGATTTAATGCCTTTTCCAAATGGCTGTACCACCATTGTCCAATACCATGCTTTTTTTCCCATCCCAATTTTAAATCAGCCTGGTTATCAGAAACAGAGAAGTTCAGCATTAGTCCGTAACTCCAAAAATAATGTACAAGGAGCGAGAAAAGGGATCGAATCCAGAGAAGAACAGAGGAAACAGGTGAATGGAAGACAATGGGATAGAGGAGTTTAGAGTTTACCTCTGGTGGAGAAACGGCTTCACAGCTTCTTGAATTAACTGTTTTTCAGTTAGTTCAGAATTCCTTGGAGATGTGCCTCAATATTTCTTAGTATAGCCTTGTGCACAGGAATCTTAGAAAGGCTGCAGTTGAACATTGTGTGCAAGGCTCAACTCCAATATCCGAAATACATTGGCTTGTTCAAGCATAATAAATAACTAAGAAAGACAATGCTATATGGAAGAAAAGTTGCAATGCAGTTGATAGATGTAATAACACTACACACTTGCTAAATTTTACTTACCAGATGCTTAGGAAAGACAGAAAATTATAATTCCAACTGGTCAGTGGTCAGAAGGTAACATTCAAAACATCCTACCACATGGATAAACAAGAAAATAATTAGAAATCAAAATGTTAGAGAATTCTGCAGTGAGCATGAATGTAATCCACAGGATAAACAACACTTGGTTGACATTTGACTGAATAAATTAAAACCCAAAGTAATTTGAATAAAAATTCAAGACATGTAGCAGAGAAGTTCAGGACAGGAGACAAAAGATGAAATCTTCCTCTTGCCATTCAAGCTCTATTGGACTTTATAGGTAAGCCTAAAAAGAGAGGTCAAAGGACTCCTTTTTTTATATTATTATCCTATAGCACTGTGGGATAAACTTCAGTGTAGCGAGCCCATAACTTGACTCAAGAAATCCATTAAGCTAAAAATGTGTACATTCAAGATAATGTGTGGGTGAAATTACCATACTCATAGCAAATAAAAAGTCAATCCAAACCATCCACCTTTTCTCATATTTCCTTGAAACAAGATTAATAATAACAAATTAAAGACATTCTACTAGCCTTTCATTACTCTCTGTAAAACAGCATCAATAACCAGCTACCCAGTTCTGGTGCTGGACATCTGACTGTCACATGCACTACACACACACACACGCAATGGTTTTCTCTAGATAATAAGGACTTTAATTTCACAAGCTTTACAGAATCGACTCTATCATTGATCTTATTACCCTGCAGCAAATATTTTCTGCAACAGTATTAGTTGTATGAAACTTTCATAGTTTGAGTTTTTGTACTTTAGGTTGACAGAAAATATTAGTCATTGACAAATCTGATTCTCCATGTTGAAAATATTTACTGCCTCTCACACACATAAAAAAGTAGGTTTCTGCTTCAGGGAGACTTAAAAAGTACCTAAACTTATGGTTATACCACCAGAAGTCTCAGGAGTTCAGCTTGCCCCAAATCTCCTCATTCATGTTATTGCTGCATTTGGTATTTAGAGAAAAAAAAAATGCCCATAGATACTCAGAATTCTGATTGGAGAGAACACAGGATAAAAGGTTTGTCCTGGTGACCAGTGAAGATGCAGGAACTTAATGATTGTACAGAGTGAGCAAGGCCATTTCCTAATATATCAAATCCATCAAGAAAAATAATTACATCCATATCAATTATTGGTCTATTAGAAATAAAGACCTAGTGGAAGGACACTATCCAAAGGTGATTGTCTAATGCTTTCAAAATAAATGTCTTATCTCTGCCTTGGCATTTTCTGTACCATCAAAAGGCCATTATCCCATGACAGTTCCATTCCACCGACATTAACATTAGATACCAATTCTTTCTAAAGGCTCTTTACAACGCTTTGTCTCATTTGGTGGGTTTGCCAAATGTTCTTCACATTTCATTAATAAATTGACCCACACAAATCCCTTAGGACCTAGGGGAAATTAAGTTTCATTCTTTTTTCTTCTTCTACTCTAATTAATACAATTAAGAATGAAAAGATGTTATCAATAGATCAATCAAGTCTAGTAAATTAAGCAGCACAGTTTAAATGAAATAACATTAAACAGAAAAGCTATGTTAATAAATATAGCTATATACCATATGTAGCTACACTTAGTGGTTATATAGCAATTGTTATATTAAGAACTTTATATGTCTTTTATTTTTGCACACACAAAAATCCTCCAAGACACGTATTATTTGTCCAGGTTAACTAAGAACTGAAGTCAGAATCTAGGTCTGTTTGACTTTAAAGCCTGGGCTTATAAACATTATGCTTTATAGCCTTTTAGATGGTATATCGAGGACTGCCTCAAGGACTGACTTCAGGCAGATCACATGGACACTCCATGCCTCAGTTTTCCTACTAATGAAAGTGAAAGTAGATTGATCTGTCTCATAGTGCCTCCTTAGATTATCTTAACCTCTTAGGTGATTGAGAAGACTAAACCATATTTTTAGGCAATGATCAAGTATAGTAACAAAAAATAAAACTATGTCTTTATATAAGTCATATTGCTAAAATCTTACTAGATCATGTTATTTTCTAGTTTCTATCTTTTCAATTGCTCCAGGTGAATGCTAACTAATGACTTATAAAACTATAATACAGATCCTATACTCTGTAAAGAATTCTAGACAAATCAGTTCCAATAAAATACTAGAGTTATGTCTGGTAATGACACTGTAAGCCTTGATTCTCAAGTTCATTAAATGTTCTACATGTTCATAACTTGATCTTTCACTTGATTTTACTTTTTTAATAGGAAAATGCCTCTTAATTCCC